ACTATGCCCAGTGTGTCAATTTAAAAAGAAATAAAATTAAAACAATATACTAAGCAGTTATGTGTGGAATTAATTTTAAAAACAACTGTCCTGATATATACAAACGAATACATGTAGGAAATTTTTCTTTTTTGCTGTTCCTTTTTTTTTTTTTTTTTTTTTCTGGTAGCAGGGATTGAACTCAGAGGCACTCAACTACTAAGCCACATCTCCAGCCCTGTTTTGTATTTTATTTACAGACAGAGTCTCTCTGAGTTACTTAGAACCTCACTTTCATTGAGGCTGGCTTTGAACTCAAAATCCTCCTGCCTCAGCCTCCCAAGCTGCTGGGATTACACGTATGCGCCATCACTCCCGACTTATTGTTCCATATTTTTATTGGTGCATTATAGTTATACATAATAATGAGATTTGTTGTTACATATTGATGTATGCACAAGATATAACAATATAATTTGATAAATATCATTACCCAGTTCTTTCCCTTTCCTATTCCTTTGCTCTACTGGTCTCCCTTCAATTTTCATGAGATTCCCCCCACCAACTTTTTTCCTTTATCCTCTCTAGAGTCCTCACATGATCCTTGACATTATGAGTTTGGCTTATTTCACTTAATAAAATACTCCATCCACTTTTCTGCAAATGACGTATTTCACTTTTCTTTATGATTAGATAAAACTCCATTGTAAACATATACCACATATTCTTTATCTGTTCACCCACTGATAAACAGGTAGGCTGGTTCCATAGCTTAGCTATTGTGAATTGTGCTGCTATAAACATGGTTATGCACGTACTACTGTAGTATGCTAACTTTAATTCTTTAGAATAACTACCAAGGAGTGGTATAGCTGAGTAATATGTTGGTTTCCTGCATAGTCTTCTGAAGAAGCTCCATACTGATTTGCAAAGTGGTTGTACTAAATTACAATCCCACCAACACTTGTAAAAGTGTCCCTTTTCCCCAACTTCCTCTTCAGCAATTCTTATCATTTGTATTCTTGATGGCTATCACTGTAACTGAAAGAGATAAAATTTCCATATAGTTTTGATTTGCATTTCCCTAACTACTAAAGTCGTTGAACATTTTTCAAATATTTGTTAGCCATCTGTATTTCTTTTGAGAATGTCTGTTAAGTTACTTTGCCCATTTACAGAATTACCTGTTTTAGGGGTCCGAGTTCTTTCTATATTCTGGGTATTAATATCCTGTCAGAAGAGAAACTAGCAAAATTTTTCTCCATTCTGTAGGCTTTCTCTTCACATTTTTAACTGTTTTTTCTGCTGTGTAGAAGCTTTTCAGTTTGATGCCATCCCATTTATTAATTCTCAATATTATTTCCTATAGGCTTCAGGAGGCCTATTGAGGAAGTCATTGCCTGGGCCTATATGTTGGAGTGTTGACCCTATGCTTTCTTCTGAGTTGCAAAGTTGCTGGTCTAATTCCTAAGTCTTTGATCCTTTCGAGTTGGCTATTGTGCAAAGTGAGAAACAGGAATCTAGCCTTACTTTTCTATATATGGAGAGCCAGTATTCCCAGCAACATGAAAACATTAAAATGGCTACCTGTTCTCCAACATACATTTTTGGTGCCTTTGTCAAGGATCAGTATCTATATGGATTTGTCTCTATCTCTTCTATTCTGTTCCACTGGTCTATGTACCCATTTTTATGCCAGTACCATGCAGTTTTTGTTACTATAGCTCTGAAGTATAATTTGAACTCAGGTATTGTGATGTTTGTTTTGTTGTTGTTGTTGTTGTTGTTGTTTTTACTTAGGATTGATTTGGCTATTTCGGGCTCTTTATACTTCCAAAAGAATTTAAGAATTGATTTTCCTAATTCTGTCAAGAATCTCATTAGTATTTTGATGAGAAGTACATTGAATCTGTACATCACTTTTGATAATATGATCATTTTAACAATATCAATTCTCTGTATCCATGAATGTGGGAGATATTTCTATCTTCTAGTAACTTGAATTTCTTTACTCGGGGTTCAATAATTTACATTGAAGACGTCTTTCATCTCCTTGTTTAGGTTTATTCCTAGGTACCTTTTTATTTTTTTAAGGCTTTTGTGAATGGGACTGTTTTCCTGATTTCTTCTTCAGCAAATTAATTATTGATGTAGGAAAGTTATTGATTTTGTATGCTTTATACTTAGGAAAATTTCCTAATGACAGACACATACTAATTCACAATAGGTTCCTCTCAAGGAACCTAAGTATAACATGAGATAACAGGCTCTGAAAAAATATTGGTATTCTGAAAAAAACATCCAAAAAGTAGTTTAGGTGATGATGAGACTATTGGAAAAATCTGAATAAAACTATTTTATGAATATAAAAGTAGGCTAGGGCTGGGGTTGTGACTCAGTGGTAGAGAGCTTGCCTCACCTGTGTGAGGCACTATGTTTGATTCTCAGCACCACATACAAATAACTAAATAAAATGAAGGTCCATCATCAACTAAAAAAAAATTTTCTGAAAAAGTAAGCTAAAGTAGCATTTCTAAACTATTGTTTTCTACTTTAAATGTATGTGTAAATGTTTAACCAAGTTACCAAAAAGATATATAATTAGGCCCTCAACTATTCCACCTATATTTATCAAGCTTTCTTTATTTAAGTTTATCAAACTTGGGGCTTCTCATTGGGAAAAGAAATGCTTTACATCCAAGCATAGTTTGCATCGTTTAGGTATAATATGCCATTTAATCATAAAACTCTAATATTTTGAAATAATACTTATTTAAAGTTAAATTATTCAACACCTAATACTTATTATACATGTCACTATAGGCTTATTAAATATAAAGTTGCTTTTTTGTAACATGCAAAAGGAAGTGCTCAACATAATGATGTGATATGTCATCTAGAATGGGGTTTGAAGGTTTCCTAGTGGCTCATTCTCGGCAAATAAAACAATAAAAGTACTAAGTACTAGAGTGAATTACAAAGTATTGGAGAAAAAAAATGAAATCCAGGACCAGGGTTGTGGCTCAGTGGTAGAGCGCTTGCCTGGCGTGTGTGAGGCCCTGGGTTCAATTCACAGCACTACATATAAATAAATAAAATAAAGGTCCATTGACAAATAATTTTAATTTTTAAAAATTAAATCCAGGAGTCAATACCAAAAACAAATAGATAACTAAGTGGAAGAGAAGAGAAGGCTCTAATTTACAACAGAGTGCCATGATCTGATAATAATATAGGGATGGTAATACAGGAGTTGAAAAATTATCATTTTGTAATCACAATCATAAAGACTAAATCAGACAAGAATCATGAATGATTGCTAGATCAAGGAGAAAATTTTGATAAGGAGCAGAATGTTTTTATAGTCTTAAAATTATTCTCTCTAATACTAGTTTAATTTTTTTAAATGCTTCTGAAAGTTTGAAATTGCTTCTAAATAAAAAATTTAAAAATGGCTATTATCTAACACTAGCCAATTTTTTTAATGAAAGGTTATTATATGTAATAAAACAATATTCTTTAGGACTTTAATATTTAGCAAAATTTTTTCTCTTCAGCTCATTTTTCATCAATTTTAAGACTATATAATTAAGACACTTTTTTATACCACTAAGAATGACAGAGAAAGGTGACAATTATAAGATGTTATCAACTATAAAGCACATCACAATTTCAGGGATGTTAAATATGAAAACATATGTCTTACAAATGATGAAATATGATTTTTATACATGGTCAAATTTGCAAACAACTTTTTTAAACATGCATACATCACCATACCATAGTGATTTTATGCTGAATTGAACTTTTTCTGTTACCTGAAAATAGGCAACAGGATCCAAAGATTGGAACAAAATAGAACTAAGTATTCTACTTCCTACAGAAAACTAAAAATGGTTGGGGACCACACATCTTCTCCTAGCTTTCATAAGGACAAAGGGGCTGTGATGTCATCAATTGTTATCTCGGTTGCCTCCACCATAATTCCAGTCCAAGAAATGTAGAAGGAAGACACAGGGAGTAGTCACAGTATACAGCAATCTTGATGAAGAGGTTTTTTTCTCTTGCTTATCACCAATTTCTCCCATTCCTTGAAGCCAAGTGAATAAAAATGTGCATTTCCAATTTTTTTGCCACTACAAGCAATGCTGTTTATTAATAAACATCTTTAAAAATATCTTTATATAGCATTACTCTTATCTCCAATAGAATAATTTCCCCAAGACCAATGTATCCAATTATAGGACTTTTTAAAAAATATTTTTACATGCTGCCACATTGTTTTTGCAAAATGGGTGTACACACACACTTGACACTTCCATTAACAACATGAGAATATTCTTTTTCCTGTATCTGTACCATCACTACATATTTTTCCAATCTGATATCTTGTGCTTACTTTCATTTACATCTCCATATTTGTGAATTAAGACATCTTTAAATATGCTAGGCATCTCAACAGCTTTTCCATGATTTATTTATTCATACTCTAGTATATTTTTCTCCTTTATTTTCTTCCAATTGTTTAGAAATGTGATATCTACAATACGAATATTCTTTCAGAATTATCATCTGTTATTGACTTTGTTTACAGTATTGTTTGTCCTACAAGTTTTGTTTTGTGAATAGCTTTCCTATGAAAGATAAACAATTTGTGTCTATGCATTTATATATTTTAAAAATATATATCTATATTTAAGCCTACTCAAATGGAAAAATAATTCAAAAGTTAAGGTATTTGTGCTGTATATGCAAATAAGAGAAAATAAAAGGGTTGAAAGAATTATTGAAAAACTAAGGTAATTGCATGTATATTTTCCCCATCAAATGAGATTTTCAGTGAAGTTAGTTATATGTAACTTGAAGTGGAGACAGCATTATTATTCTCATCTTCATTTTTATTTGGAGAAAGTATAATGAAAAGCCACACTGAGCAACAGAGTTGATTCAATAGCTTGTCTTTTGAAAGTAGTATCAATGTCAACACAAGTTTTGATAGCATTTAGGAGCAAGATACTTACCTTTCAATAGCTAATTCTTTGTTAGAAAGTTGCTGCACTGTAATTACAACCTTCTTCTCTATTCCTTGCTTTAATTTGAAATAAAATTTATCTCTATCCTTTGGCACAGGGCTGAAATATTCAAAAAGAACAAAAATTACCAATATAATAATATAATCAAATAAGATAACCTATTCCAAGGTTTGAACAAGACAATCAAGTATTTAAGCAATGACTCTTAAGATGTGTTATACTCTTGGCCTGAGTTTGTGGCTCAGTGGTAGAGCATGCAATGCGCCTAGCACATGTGAGGCACTAGGTTTGGTCCTCAGCACCACATATAAATAAATGAATAAAATAAAATAAATGTGCTGGGCTGGGGATATAGCTCAGTTGGTAGAGCACTTGCCTTGCATGCACAAGGCCCTGGATTCAATCCCCAGCACCACAAATAAATAAATAAATACAATGTGCTAAACTCTCACCTTGCCACAGATAACAAACTATAAATTTTATGGTCAGAAATAGAAATTTCCATTAATTTTTAAACTGGACTTAAAAGAGCCTTACATTTCATCTCCTAACCAAGTTTAAAACCAAGATGTAACATGATACAATTGCAGGGCTGAGGTTGTGGCTCAGTGGTAGAGCTCTCGCTTGGCAGGTGTGAAGCACTGGGTTCAATCCTCAGCACCATTTTTAAATAAATAAATAAAATAAAGGTATTGTGTCCATCTACAACTAAAAAAAAATTAAAGCTATAATTGCAAGTTTTAGTTATTGTTTAATAAATTTTAAAATATAGTTTATTCGCTATTTTTAAGACAGTCACATTTCTGGTTTAGCTGGCTGGATAGTCATGGGTGCCTATTATATAGTGAAACAGAAGGCAAAAACATTGAGAACTTTAATTTTAAGACAGCATTCAAGATGTTATGACATATTCAAAAACATACAAAGAAAAGATTGACCAAGATAGATAGCGGTAAGTTAATCAAATTCAAGCCTAAACCAAACGATTCTTTTGGGGGGAAGCCAATACTGAGGATTGAACCCAGAGCACCTTAACCAGTGAGTTACATCCTCAGTCCTTTCTATTTTTTATTTTGAATCAGGGTCTCACTAAGTTTCCAGGTTGGCCTGGGACTTGCAATCCTCCTGCTTAAACATCCCAAGTAGCTGGGATTACAGATATGTGTCCCCATATCTAGCTAAACTCATTATTCATATAATGAATTAATTCATTAAAACAATAAATGTTGAAAATAGAAGTTCTCAACTGAAAAGGAAAACTATCAGGAACAACTTATTTGATCTGAAATTCTATTTCTACATCTAAATTATCTTCCTAGTAATTACTGTTAGAATTAAAAGCACAGTTAAGGCATATAGGTGGTTATTAAATAGCATAAATATTTCTTATTAATTGCCTGTTTTTAAACTGGAGAAAAACATTTTAAATGTCCAATAGAAAAAAAATGGACAATTAAATGATAGCTGAACTATATAATATACTATTAGTTACCATTAAAAATTATTTTAAGACATTTTAATGAGAAATTCTTAAAATGTAAAGAAACTACTTGTATATATACAATCATTTTAAAATTCCCTTAGAAATAAACAAAGGGGATAAACTAAATATTGGAAGTAATTACCTATGGCTGGCAAAATTAAAGTTTCTCCTTCTATTTTTATTATTTTACTAAATTTACTATAATAAACTTTAGTACTTTTAAATTATTAAGAAAATCATTTAAATATCTGAAAAGCATCAGAACAATGAAACATATTCACCAAATATTCCCTTACCAGTTTAACACTTTATGCCAACATTGTCTAGCTTGGGGAAATTTTAGATTAGCCAATATTATATTTCAGGGATAATGATATATTTTTTTCCTTCATAAATAACCTCACCTAAAGTTTCCTTTTCCATCATCTTCTTTTACCTCCAAGGAGACACCAAAGGTAAACACATCACTGTCGGGGGTAGGAATAATCGAGTCTTTAACATCAGACACTTGTCTGGAAGAACGTTTGAATGCTGTACAGAAACTATATAAAATTCTGCTTACCTAAAAAAATAAAAATGGAAATACCATTAGGCATGAGTTTTAACTGCATTCTGATACCCTTCTCTGATTTTTGAGTCTATTACTTTCCATGATCACAATTTTCTTAAGTAGATAAAAGATATATAATCTAAGAATCCATTAGTCATTTAGATATTGCATAAATATTTTTCATCACTTATGCATTAAAGAGGGGTGAGTCAAAACCATATGTAGTAAATGTAGATAGATCATCCTAACTCTAAATAAATCATATCCTGAAGACTATCATCAGTTTGAAGTCTAAGAGGGAAAATATTGCTAACAATATCCCTCGAAAGGCAAATTAATTTCACAGAATATTTTAACTTTATGAAAGTAATAAAAGAACATCATTTCAAGTATGATGTATGTTTTCAAACTTACAACAGATAAAATTCCAATGTAAACACTAGAGATGAGAACTAACATTTAGGAGTTGCAACAAGGATCTGGGAAACCTGAGAATTAAGAAAGACAAGACAATGAGGTGCACTCAGGAGAAAAAGTAAGTTGATATCTTTAACAGTGATTCAGAATCCGCCCCAGTACAAAAAAGCATGATACGCCTGTCCAGGAGAGAGGGAAAAAAATACCATCAGTACCAAAGGAGATCATTTAATTATTATAAAAAACTTTCTTTGAAGAAGTTCTCTGATAATACCTAATGAAAAGGCAAGATTTCCTTCCAAGAAATTGCTGAGATAGCATGTACATCATTTGTTAGGAAAAAATTATTCTATAGAGTGAAGAATATTTTATTATTATGAAAAATTTCTCTCCAGTATGGACAACAGGGTATCTTTGCTATCTGATACACAAATAGGTTATCACTGTTAGAAAACTTAGATGTTATTTACTGCTATTTATCAATAATGATTTTATATATAGATAGATAGATATAGATATATAGCTTTTTAGTTTACATACTCCATTAATACACACTACAATATCTGATTCTCCAAAGTAGGTTTATAAAGCAGGCCTGACAGAATTTGCAATACTTTTTGCAAATGATTAAAATGGGGTTCAAAAACTTTCCAAAAATCATGCAGCTATTAAATGATCGAGTTGTCTAGAATTCTAAGTTGAGGGCTTCTTAAGGAGACTGCTTCCTAATATTATTTAGATTAGCTCCCTGATTATCAATGACTTTCTCTTGTAGAATAGTAAAATAGGGAATTAAATTCAATAAGTTTATATGTATATGTGCCTCACTAGAGTAGAGAAATATGCCCAAGTGTATTCATATTGAGGAATGGCCGCCTCACTAAGAAAGAATTCTTTAAGAAACAATCAAAAAAGACATGTTTCAAATATTCTTGTTTTGTTTGTTTCAACTCTGGTATTTAAACTTGGTAATAAAAATAAACTAATTTAGGTTCATCAAGGAAGCCATATCAATTTACAGACGTCTCTAGGCTTTAAAATACACTGAAGTATTTTGACTGGATCTTAAGATGATGCTAGGCTCTACATCTTCCAAATGTATGCTCACAAACAAGGTTTCAGCTCAAGTCTTCAATTTCTCTTTTCACTTCTCAGCCTCAGAGGACTAGAATCTGAGCCACAGAATAAAAGCAAATCCCACTTTCAGAAATAAGCATTCACGAGAACATCACTTGAAGAGATTCCAGTATTTTTACTCAATGTTGTCATAGTATAAAAATACTAAAGGATTCTGCGAATGAAGGGATGATGAATGGTCTTAATGTATTCTATTAGTATTAGGACCTTCTAATGTCCACTTAAATATATATACACATATACACACACATAGTTATATACAGACACAAATGGCTCATATTTTTCCTAAAGCAGCAAAATATTATAAATCCCACACCTTTCCAGAAGTTATTCTCTTCCTCATCTGCAAAAAAAATATATTAACATCTCATACTTGTGATCTTGAAGCAACAACTTCGAATCTCTTATCCCATCCATAGGTTGAATAATGAAAATGAGGTGAAACAAGAGGGGTTAAACAAAGGTCATATTTTCAATACCTCAAAATGGTAAATTAAAAGTAAGGAGATTACTCTGAATATTAACAAATCTTTTACTTATTAGATAAATTCAAATTGTCATTGAATATATTGCTTTACGAATACAACTTTTTTAATTCATTTAAAACAAGAGTACTCCTTCAGCAATAAAAATTTGTTAAAGAATGCAGTCTTTCTTATTTTTCTACTTTTCTACTTTAGTTTTATTCATATATTCTGGCATAAGCTTTTTCTGTATACATACAGCCTAACACATTCAAAAACAACTAGTCCTCAAACTTTTAGTACACACATTTACATGTTAATCAGTGATTACCCTAAACTCCTTTTCAATGTCAATTAATAGTTTCTTAAATTAGCTGATTAACATTATTTGTTAACATTTTTAGCAACTGTAGAAATATTCCTGCCCACCTAAAGTTCAACTTTGGTTGTAGGACCATATTTGGTTCACAGTGGTTATGAACGTTTAAAAGTATTTTACCATGTTATCCCATTACAATCATATATAAACAAGTAAAAACAATAAAAGCAGCAAAGGTTTGATATTCATAAGAACTGTAGGCCTCAACTCCAGAGACTATTAAAACAATGACAAATTAACTTACTCAAGACATTTTTGAGTTACAGTGCTAGGGATACAGAAGAGAACATGGAAGTTACATTGTAACAAATGTTAGTTGAATGTACTTGGTTTGGGAAAGTAAAAATAATTAGGTAAGCCAAAACCAAAAATATTTAGCCTAAGATGCATACTTATTGAACTTAGCTCAATAATTTTAGTGTTAAGAAGGAAAACGTAATCAAACAACACAATATAAATATGCTATTGAAGACTATACCTAGAAGGTGAAGTGTAAATAATGACTTTAAATTACTTTTAGTTCTTTGGATACAATGTACTTCCTAAATAAAATGTGAAATCCAGTGTCTACTTTTTACATATGCAATTAAAATGTTTTTTAAGCAAACATCATAATATGTGAAATTAGGGAAACACTTATATATAATTTTAGAAAAATTAAGTCAAATTCCATTGATATTTATTCTCTCCTGTCCCTTCTCATCCCTTCTTCTCACCCTTTTATTTTCTTTGTGTCAGAGATACCAGCAAGCTTGCCACATCAAAAGGCTACATCACCAAAAAAGGCAAAGAATTAGACAAATTCTAAAGAGGATGGTAAGGCTTCAGGAATTTATTTTTAAAAGGTTAAGTATATGGAGCAAACCCAGAGTGGTAAAGAATAATGGGGGAAAAAACAGACTGCACCTTTCTTTTGGAGAATTATGTACAACAACATATTAACTTCATTAACAGCATTTAAAGCTAACCTTATCTTACAAGTTGTTATTTCCACCAAAAAGGTTAAAATCACTTGTAAATTCTACAGTGTGTATGAACAAGCTGAATCCTATACGTGACCCAAGGATTGTCAAGGTAAATTAATAAAAAATGATTTTCAATGTCTATGATTCTTGAAACAAATTGGATAGTCAAAATTATGTGAAGAAAATTAAAACTACATACCATGGCAAATACTTCATAATGTTACATTATTGAAATACACACAAAAATAATTATCTAGAAGGGGCATTTTCATTGCAGAAGGCAAAGATTTATTGATAAATAAAACAGAACTATTTTCCCCCAAAAGCAGTACCCATAGAAAGCACTAATAAACACAAAACTTTGTTATCTGCTTGGGGTTGTTGTTATTTTTAAATGAGGGTGGGAAGACAGCACCCATAGGTATCTGGAATGGAAATATCCCAAAATTTTAACTGTGATAGAATTCAGGTCACCTTTTATTTTCTTCTTTATTTCAGTATTTTGCAAAGTCTCAGATATGTATTATATGTTAAAAGTCCAAACAAAGCTATTATATAACAAAGCATTTACTTAAATATAGCTAGGGTTTCCAAGATAAAGCCTTTCTATTAATATTGGTGTATGATAACCTACTCTTTCAGAAACATCATGTATCAAGTAAATGTTCATCCAAAAAAGGTAGGAAAAAACATTCTACGAACAGCATCCTAAAACAACCTGTTGTTTTAAACAACTTTTAAATACATGTGTCACTGAAAGAACCTATTACATTCACTGTAATTAAAAAATTATTGGGGGGCTGGGGTTGTGGCTCGGAGGTAGAATGCTCGACTAGCATGCGTGAGGCACTAGGTTCAATACTCAGCACCACATTAAAAAAATAAAATAAAGATATTGTGTCCACCTATAACTAAAAAATAAATATTTTTTAAAAAATTATTAGGGCTGGGGTTGTGGCTCAACAGTAGAGTGCTTGCCTAGCATGTATGAGGCACTGGGTTCGATCCTCAGCACCACATGAAAATAAATAAATAAAATAAAGGTATTGTGTTCAACTACAACTAAAAATATATTTTTTTAAAAAAAAAGTATCCAAGAAATATTTTTAAAATTATAAAATTCAAAGAAAACATAACCAGAATATTTCTGAATAATCTTTCAAAATAAGGCAAGTAACTGTCTACATGAATATGTTTTTAGAAATATTTTCCAATGCAAAAAGTAGTTTTCTTTTATATAGCAGTATATTGGCAAGCCCAAGAAAATGTACTGCATTAAAAATTCATCTTCCCAACTGATACCATTGACATTTAGCACAAAATACCTTTGAATGCCTTTAACTCCACATGAGGAAAAACTGTGCTTGTAATAACATAACGCTGACAGTCGCTAGTATTAATATAATTATAACACCAAAACATCATAAAAAATGTTTTGAAGAAAATGATCTTACTCAATAACAGAAATAAAATCTCAGAGAGTCAATCAAGCCTTCTAAAATATCTTTTAAAAGTTCTGTATAATATATCCATAAAGATGCAACTAGAATTGGTGACTTGGCTTTTTTCACTATATCGGATATTTTGCTAAGATTGCAATTCAGAAGCCTACCACATAACTCTCTCTGCACAAAGATCACTAACATTAAGATAATTCTGATTGGACAGACCAATTCTTTTGCCAGAGGACACAGAGATCCACTCCAACAGAGTCCTGCAGAAGAATATCCAGAGTCAAATGTGTCGTGACCCTTCTGTGGGAACTCCTAACCCTTGCATCACAGCTGTCCAAGAGAGCCATCATCACCCTCACTGGGATTCCCTTCTGCCACCATTGGTGCCTGCTGCTTGAAGATTTTTACAGTGAAGTGACAGGAGACAGTAGTAGCCGTGCAGTTACTCCTGCTTGAAGAGTCATCTTCTTGCCTTTAACAGAAAAACCTCTGTAGATGTCATCCAGGGAGTCTGGGGAGGAAAAAAAGGAAAATAAATCAGTGTCATTGCCATACAGTATATACTTAAGCAAAAGAATACCTGTCACATGGCTCCTAGGCTATCTAAGCCAATTGCTTGTACCCACCAGAAGGGACTTAACTACTGAGGACTACAGTTGTCCCTATATTACAAAACAGGAAATTTCCAGGAACCAGATAACCAGTAATTAAATGGCTTTGGATTAACTATAATTAATTTTTTAGGGAAGACAAGATGATGCTGATAGCTTCTATAAAAAACTTGAGTAAACCACAAAGGTAGGTTGAAGGCAAAATATGTGCCTGATAAATCCCCTTATAAACATAACTGAGGGGTCTGGGATTGTATCTCTGTGAGAGCACTCTTGCCTAGCATGTGTGAGGCACTAGGTTTGATACTCAGCACCACATAAGAAATAAATAAAATAAAGGTACTGCATCCATCTACAACTAAAAACAATATTTAGAAAAAGAAAAAAATAACTGAAAGACAAAAATTCACATTTTCTATAATATTTAAGCAACAAGAAAGTTGTTGCTGAAAATATATAACTCCTTAGAGTGAATGACTTTAACTTCAAACCCAGCTCTACTATCCATTCCCTTAGCCTGGGGATAAACAAAAGGTAACTACACAATTCATTATTCAAAACCACAACCCTTTTGAAAATATTGGCAATTGACCTAGACAGTAGGCATAAAGTAGGACTGCTCTAAATAAATATGTATGCCATGGATGTTATGAGTATCAAGTATGTGCTTGGCACATGCCTGGCATAAGCATTGCATTTATATTGGGTTAGTCTTCATTTCAAAATGGTATCTCACAATAAGGTTCTATGACCACTGTGTGTGTATATATTTCTCCTTCAAACACTGTATATTACCTACCACCAATGGCCCACAGTATAACACTTTCAAAAACATCATCTAAATATGGAAATCATGTACCAAATAAATGCTCTAGATATATAATAAATACTCTTTAATATGTAAAATGATCAGTCTAAGAATTCCCCATTTTTTTCCCACTGATTACCCACTGTCAGAGCTCTTAAAAAAAACAAGCAAACACTTCTCCAACTCAGAAACAAGTAGATACTATAATCCCAAAAGAGAGTTTCATACCATCACAGTTATGGAAAATGCAGCAAGGTCCCTTTCAATTTCCTCCTATAGCAGCATTTCTATTTCTCCAAGAAGTAGGTTGTCCAGTTCTTCAAAGTTCATTTTCTTGAGATTGGGCTCCAGTGATCCAGAAACCACACAGGTGTATTAAATGACAGCTGCCAACATGAAATGCCAGGACTCTACCATCTGCTTCCCCACCTCTGTAGTGGAGTTTATAAGGATCAGAACAGCCCCCCTCACTCACAAAACACACATGTATTCTTTCACACATTTTGAAGCATGCCTACTATGTACCAGGTACACCAGCAACACACTTGTACTCATTTCACTTTCCTATCTATCACATCTTTTTGAGCAAGAAATGGAAATATACATAGATACCTAAGTGTCAGGATGAAATAGTATAAGGCCTATCTGAAAAACAAAACACAAAACTTGAACTTCTTATACAAAGCATAGGTTGTGGAAGAAAATTTATATGTTTATGATCTAAATTATGTGTCTGTACATGTTCGTTTTAGTATAAAACAAACTGATGATCACCAGGGCATAAGAATTAACATATCCATCGTGCTTCTTATCAAAATTACATAGATCTATATTTCTATACATTCTAATTTTGTGACCAGAAATAAACTCTCAAAACTGTTATTACAATAGTTTGTACATATTTCATGGTAAATGGAGACTAGAAATAACTGTTGCTTTTAGCATTTTCTGACAATTGATATTTTCAAAATTGCCCATCCAATCCCATTTAAAATGCCTTTGAAATTATTGCAAGTAATACACTCCTAATAATACTTCTTTTAATTTGGGGGCAATTCAAGAGATGCAGCAAAGAATATTTCCCCATGTATTTTACAACCATTTGATTCTGAGCTATTTCTCCAACCTAAGAATATACAATATTGTTATGAACTTACTGGCATCTTCAAAAGACTATAAGTTGATACCCCTGCTGTATGTGAGCATTTATATTTTTAATTAGGTTAGTTTTCCAGAGCAAAATACAGCCTCCAAGTGATAACAAATAATCACTAATGAAAACCACAGAGATCTATGAAACAATATTAGTGCAATATCTAAGTGAAAGTAATTATGCAACTATGAGAGACACAGGTATTGTTATAAGCACTTTTTTAAATCACATAGACCAATTTACTTGAGCAAAATGAAAGGTGAAAAAATATTCATCCTTTCTGAGCATAAGCAATTGCTACTGTGGTAGGGTGGTAGGACAATTTATCAAGTGGTTTTTTTCTTTTATTCCTGCTAAATTGTGAAAGTGTCCTACCTAGAATTATCATTTTATTGTATAGATAAATCAGACTTAGCATTCAGTTCTATGCCATTAACAAGATAAACTTTGTCTTTAGAAGCAATCTCCAAATTTATATAATGTACTTATCAGGGAAATTAAGAATTCAAAAATACTACCCTAATTCAGCTCTATAGCAAATTGCTATACTATATTATACTTACTGCCTCTTTAATTTCACAGGAAAAAACATGTATCTGAAATTCTTCTGAACCATGAGAACTCTCTGTAAATGCAAAGCAATTGCTCTCTGTTGTCCCATCGTGTCCACGGGCACAGAATAACACTTTATAGATCGGGAAAGATGCTATCTCCACATTGCTGGATTGGTCTATGATTCTGCAGAAGAGTGATGAAAAATGAGATAAAATATGTTACTAGCAAGGAACAAAGACAGCTTTACCATATCAATATACAACATATAAACATAACTATCTTAAAATCACAAGAATAAATTGGTAATAATAATGCTAGAAAACAGAGTGTCTATATATTCCTGGAAACCTTACACATACACATATAAATTCTTCATCTTCTTTTGACAATTTCTTTGTTCTTATTTTCCTAAGATCTAACTCGTTTACTCCAAAGCAAAGCAGGCATGGCTATGTAAAATACTATCACTGGTTATCACTGGTTAAAACATATACTAGAACAAAAGCACAGATCATCTTGGAAAATCCATTTCTTTTCAGAGCACTACCTTTAAGTTCATCTAAGCCTCAAGTTACTGTTCAACTGAAAACTCTTTGCCCAGAAAAATGTCAGGAAATTTCAAACATAGATTCAACAACAGAACACAAAATTTAAAAGTAGTTTGAGGGATTTAGAAATAATTCTCTGATGTTCCCTACATACATCTTATGCCTTGGATTGATCTAAACAGTCAAGACCATTTCAAAATCTCAAACAAAGAAACTAAGAGATAGGCTGAAGTAATACAGAGGCAACTGTCAGTAATCGTTTAGAGGTAAGTCTTTGTCAAGGAATGTTTGGAAAACTGAAACTAAATAATAACACTAAAATACAATTTGGCATTTTTAGGAGATACTGTGAAATTAATTTTTAAAAAACTTTATAAAAATAATTTATAAGACACTTCTGAAAAACTCAAAAGCATTTTATTCAATACTATGTAAAATTTTATAGCTATTACTTCAATACAAAGAACTTAGTCATCACTCTACTTCTTTGAATGACTGTTAAAGGCTAAAGTCAGATCTTCCTGCTCCCGCAAAATAGAAAAATATAAATCTCAAGTATTTTACATGTCCTAAGGAAAATTTTGCAAATATCCCTTACCAACAGGAACACAGTGTAAGCCTAAATAACGTGTACTTTGCATGTCTACGGAGAATTAAGTGAATTCACAGTAAGTCCTACATTGAATTTATGATATAATACCCTCACAACACTCAAAAGACTTAGAACATGTCTAAAAAAAAAGAAAATTAAAGCTTACCTCACAGAACCTTCTGGAACATTTGGCACATACAAAGTAACAGGAAAGGGGTACTGACTGGACGATCTCATGGTTGCCATTGCCCGTAAAGCCTCCACTTCATTACGTGGGGAAGAAACCTTCATACATCCTAAGTAAGTCAGTTTATTAAATAAAACACTATCTTCTTCAGATAGTCCAGTTGGAGAAGATGGTCTGGGTGTCGAAATTTCTGAAGGGTAAAAAAACAGAAACACTCCAAAGTCAATACAAAACAAGTATAATTTTGCCAAATGCTCAAAGAGAAATGAAATATATCAAACAAAATTTAGATAAATACTAACTGAAAGAAAGCTGCAATGAATATATCAGTAGAAAATAAATGGGCTTCATAACAAAGAAAATACACAGGGATAAAGAAAAATTATTACATAATGATGAGTGAATTCACCTAGAAAATATAAAAATGAGTTATCCACCTAAAACAGAGCTTTAAAATACATGAAGTAAAAATTTATAGAACCAAATGAAGAAATAGACAAATCTATAATTATACTTGGATAATTCAAACTACTACACAATAAAGCATAGAAAAACTAAACATAAAATCAACAAGGTATAGATGACTTAACAAGCATCTTGATCTAACAATTATAGAAAACCCAGAAACTACAGAACACACATTCTTTTCAAGTTTACATAATATATTCACCAAGATATATCAGGATAAACCCCAAATTTACAACTTTTATGAAAATGCAAAAGAAATAGAATAGTCAAAAACACTTTGAAAGAAAATATTGCCTGATTTTAAGGTTTACTATAAAGCTACAATAATCAAGACAGCAGGAATTTTTAAAAAGGACAGACATATCAGGCAATGAAACAAAGCAGAAGGTTCAGAAACAGCCTCACACACATATGGCAATAGATTTTTATTTGTTCTCTTTAGATATACATGACTGTAGAGTGTGGCAACAGATTCCAAACAAAGCACATTCACCAAGCCTGGTGGTCCACACTAATAATCCCAGCTATTCTGGAGGCTGAGAAAAGGATCACAAGTTTGAGGCCAGCCTCAATAACTTGGCAAGACCTTATCATATAAAGCAGCCACTCCACTCCTAGGTATTAATCCCAAGAAATCAAAGTGTATTTGTTCACAAATATTCATAGCAGCTTTACTGATTAGCCCAAAACTGGAAACAACCCAGAGACCTTAACATAATAGATTCATAAAATGGATTACAACTCAACAATTAAAAAAAAACTTGATACATGCATCAACATTGATAAATTTCAAAATAATTATGCTCACCAAAAAAAAAACAGATCAAAGTATCTACTATTTAATAAATTCATAACCTGGATTTTAAATAGATCCTAAATCATATACTGGAAATAGGAAATACATTAAACTAAATTTTTATAGTTTAACTACAAGAACATAAGTGTTTTCTCAAAGAAAGTTAAAGCTGAGCTATTGTTATATGCCAATATTTTTAATTTATGCATAGGTTCATTTTATTGGGTTGCAGAAAGGATTGATTTCTCATCCCACATCTGCTATAAAATAGCTGTATAAGCCTAAATAAGGCACTTAACTCCTCTGGTCCCCAGCTAGTGTATCAGCAGCATAAGAGAGTATAAATGCTTTTTAAAGGGCATTATTCCATAGAAATCTAAGAGGTCCACCACGGTGATTTAGTGAAGATGAAGGTCCTACATCCTGCCCCACATCCATTTCAAGCACATATGTTGTAACTACTAGGTGGAGACGAAACATTTTATTTGATCTGATTCCCAGGTTCAAAGTTTCCAATATTGATAATAATAATGATGATAAACATTTTACTAGGCACAATCAAATGTACCATAACTGTAACCTTCATGTAGACAAAATTCACTGATAACTATCAGATTATGACTCATGGAAATCCTGAGTTAAGCAGGCAAAGAGCAAAAATATTTTCAATAAAGCCAACCTTATAGAAATGACAAAAATCACAAACAAATGTAAGGTGCTCAATTTCACCTAAATAAATAAGAATTCAGTACTAATCAAATCATATTCAATTGTCTCATCCATTCTTCAGTAGAATGATGAAAAGAATAACAAAGAAAGTGAGAGAAAAGACCCATCTTTATAATCAAATGGTATTTCAGCACATTTAAACCAGGAATGATTTGCTATTAAAGTTGAACCCAAGTAGCCAGGGTATAAAAACACAAAATGAAAAAAACCAAGGTATCAAAATGCTTAAACAAAAGTTCTCATCAAAATAGTTTTATAACTAACAAAAAAAACACACATTTAATGTTTAGTTTAGACCACTTCAGTCTCATTTCCAGGCAGTTTCTTGACACTGAAGCTATCATTTCAAACTAACCATAATGCTACTGGCAAAAATGGTATTGATTTCAACTATGAAAAGATACCAGAAATGTTCTTTTATTCAATATGTAAACTAAAAATACAGACTCAGAAAATAAATACAGAAAACTTACCTGTAAAGCAAAGGAAATTTTTCTTACCAACAGAGATATTCAGTAGAAGATACATTTTTTAAAATGTATTTGGGATAATGGGGATTGAGAATATAAAAAGATGCACAATAGATAGTCTCATAATATACTCGGAAATAAGAATCATATATCTTAAGTCACTGAAAAGGCTAATTCATTCAAATAGCTCATTAGTGTTACAATAAAAGGCAAAAGGCACTTCTTCCTTTCAAGGACTATATTAAAAAATAACTATATGAATACAGATTACCAGTATGCTTTGGGATTTTTAAGAAATTCAATGACAAAACAAAGTGCAACAAATAATACAATTTCCCATGTACCCTTAATCAAGAAAAAAGAATAATTTGTAAAGTTTGTTCCTAATGTCATATTTTTAATAAAGTCATTTTATGTGTGTATGTTTATATCTATATACACATATAAATATATATGCTGTTAAGTCCTCCTAAACTTAAATCTAGTCACAAGTATGTCTACACACTAAAATCTGTTAAGTCTTTCTTGCAAATCACTAAAACATATGCTGTTTAACAAATATTTATGGTATCTTTCTCATTAAGAAGTTTAATTTTTTCTTTATTAAAATGCAACTATCTGGGCTGGGGTTGTGGCTCAGTGGTAGAGCACTTGTCTAGCATGTGCAAGGCACTGGTTCGATTCTCAGCACCACATATAGATAGGTAAGTAAAATAAACGTCCATGAACAACTAATAAAAACATTATTAAAAATAAAAATGCAACTATCTTTTCCTTTTCTGGTTTGACTTTTCCTACCTGATCCACACACAAAAAAAACTTCTCCAATATTCTTTTTATTATTGATTTTTTTAAATAAATGATAGCAGAATGTTTTACAATTCATATCACACATATACAGCACAATTTTTCATACCTCTGGTTGTATATAAAGCATGCTCACACCAATTCGTGTCTTCATACATGTACTTTGGGTAATGATGTCCATCACATTCCACCATCATTGCTAACTCCCTGCCCTATCTAGAGTTCATCTATTCCTCCCACACTCCCCCTCCTTACCCCACTATGAGTCAGTCAACTTATATTCCAATATTTTCTTCTTAGAAATTTGTCCCCCAACCCACACCCCATGATTGAACCCAGAAGGAACACACTAGGCACAGCTCTAGTATGATGCTACACCTCCTGGTCCACATTTTTTCCACTTTTAAATTTTTGATTCACTAGGAATAATTCTAGTATATAAACTAAAAACCTAATTTTATTTTAAGAGAAACAACTACTCCAACACCATTTATTGACTATCCATCATTTCCCCTACCAAATTGTGAGAATAATTCTGCCAATCTTTTTTTTTCTAATCATCAGATGTCATTTCTTTTTCCAGTCATCTTTCATGGGGTGAAGTCTCCAGCACAGGAATACTGAGAACAGGACAGCTAACAGTGTCAAAGAGCTAATGCACTTTGTTCAGATACATCTTAATGAGAATACATCTAATCTGAGGGATAAAATATACAACAAGATTTTGATAGATATCATTTATCAAGTAAAGTAAATTTCCTTCTATTCTCAGTTTGACAAAAACTTTATATATCTAATATACATAAAAGATCTTGATTTTTGTCTGCTACTTTTTCTATGTCTACTGATTTGATATTTCTCTTCTCAATATTTATGTGTAAATCACACTGACAGATTTTAGTGCTGAATCATCCTTGCCATAATAGGCTTTGTGATCACATATATACATATCCCATCATATCCCACTGATTAGCAGTTTGGCCTATACTATATTTACCTTATACCAAGATTCAAAAAAGGGATCGCTAGTACCTTAAGCCAATTTGGATAATCCCATCCCCTCTGTCAAAGTGACTTATTGAGGAGTCTAAAAGTAAGGCCTACACCTGTATTCCCTGATCACTAGAAAATGGTCAGTTGATAAAATCAGAATGAGGTTCAGAACTTAGTCATTAGTAAAAGAATGAAATTTTTCTCTCTGCCACCTGGCATGAACAGATCACCTAACCCTACCTACCAATTTCTGCTAGTGGCCAAGGAGGGAAGTCAACTAAGGAGAAGGACAACATGAAGAAAACAGAACTGACTAGTTTACAAAAAAAAAAAAAAAAAAAAAAAAAAACCCCCAGACTCAGATCAAACCACATCTCTAGTGTTTAAGCCAGCTGAAGTTGGAGTCAGTTTAAGTTTTGTTTGTTTTTTCGCACCCAAAAGCATATTAAACTCAAAGCTGGTATTTATAGTACAAATCCTACTCACACATAGATGTATTTATTATTAAATATACCAATAAAATTGATGTGCTATTTTACTTAGAATTTTTACCATAATTAGCTTAAAATAAGAGTAGCCAAACTGAAGAAAATGGAATTCTCTAATACTCAAGAGTTCGATATTTGTTCAATATTTGCCCAATATTTGTTCATTAAGTACTAAAGATCAACCATGTGCCAAATATTGGAGGGAAAATTAGGACCCAAACATACTCTTTATTGTGAAAGACTATTGTGACCAGATTTCAAGGCAAATATATGAGCAAAAACCAAGGTGAAAATTCTCAACCAGAACAAAAAGCCCAGTGGTCCTGATCTTGTAAAACAAAACTGTTTGCTAATTTTCATTATCATTCTATTCTCTTTCCATTATGATTGGTTTCAAAGAGTTTGATTACAGTACCTGTGTTAGATGGATCCAAAATTAACTGAAGAGATGGTGTATTTGTTTGGCTGGCTGGAATATCTCCAAATGAATGGTCTGAAATCTCACTGGAACTTTGACAGTCAAGACTGCTTTGCCCCTTCTCAGAATCTCTCAAAATTTCTTCCATGGCTTTTTCCAGTTGTTCATCACCATTAGAAACTATCTATTAATTTAGCAAGATAATTGTTTCAATCTCATTATAGTTCTGAAGATTAATGTTATGAAAATCTTTAATTTCTAGATGAAATAAAAACAATCTAAATATTTAAAGATATAGTTACTGAATAGTAAGAATTAAGTCAGTTACACTTCATTGCACATAGATACATTAAAATTCTGAATAATAAAATCAAGTAAATAAGAGGCAGATTAATTTCACAATTTCCAACTACATTTGACATAACATCTTATTTATAAAGGTTGCTTTTTCTTTCTTTTTAAGGAATACATCCTAAAAATCACATAATCTTAAACTTATGTGTTTTAAAGAAAAAAACAGATAAGTGTAAAAAGGACCTGCTATAAATATCATTTAAATGATCATCTCTCTTACGGTGGTATAATCATATTTTCAATTTCTTTATAAATTGTTTGCTAGCTGCCAAAAGGAACTGCTAATTTCCTTAAATTTAAGTTGACTTATCTTTTTTTTAAAAGCAGGTGAGGCACAAAGCCCAAATAAATAAGTATCTTAAACACACAATGCTAAAAATACAGAAACCTAAAAGTAAAACCATGATCATTTGAATAACCTAATAAAACAACATGTTCTTTAGGGCTGCAGTTATAGCTCAGTGGCAGAGCACTTGCCCAGCATGTGTGAAGCACTGGGTTCAATCCTCACCACTACATAAAAATAAATAAGATAAATATATAAAAAGTATAATAACATTATTTTTTTTAAAAACTATATTTTCTTTACATAATATAAATGAATATTTAATAATCTCATTTTTACAAGTTATTTTATTGAGCTGATATGTTAATATACTTTTGATGTCATACTTACTACTAAGTAAAAGTCATAAATAATAAATAGCACTTTTGGCTATTTTCTATTCCTGTTTCTAAAGGACGATTACACAATTTTCATGTACATACACCTGGGTTTATCACTTCCTTTTCTCTGACTTAAAAAAGTCAATCCGAAAATGACAAAAAGGACTATAGAAAAAGTTAACTGCTAAAAATGTAAAACACACTTTTAGAATGAATATTCACAAGTCACCAATTAAATCACCTACCAGAATGTTACCAGCTCCTTTAAAACATGAAAAACAGGGGAAAAAAGCCTCTAAAGAAAAACATGACTTTCATGTAACTAATTTCTAAAACCCATATGAGAAACAAAAACAACCAGATAAATTAATGTAAGATTTAATCTTAAGTTTAACTTGCCAATCACACCTTCTCTTTTATTTTTCCTTCTATTTCCTCCTCCTAAAATTCCAAATGAAAGGATAAAAATAATCTGGACCAAAATACTTTTAAAATCCCCAAACCAAATAATTAGTCTCTGAATAAATCAAACCAAATAATTAGTCTCTGGATAAATCAAACCTTGACTTTTATTCTCAAGGTCTATACTTGCGAAAAACCCTAGATCTTTATAATCTCCTGAGAGCTTCAAAAAATGATAATTTTAAATAGTGCCATATTAGAAAAGAAAAAAATACCTTCAGTTGAGGTTTCTCATCATCTTTTGTAGAAGTATCATCTGTGTGCTGAGGAACCAAAACAAATTCTTCACTGTTCAGTGTAGCCACAGAATCAGATGACCCACTAACCTTCTGTAGTGAAGCTCTGACCTCCATTTCAATTCTGAGAACTTCTCTTTCCCACATTCACCTGGCCAAACTACAGGGATCAAAAAACAAACAACAACAAAACCCAATGATTAAAAACTTGAGCTAAATAAAAACATTAACTAATAAAGCTTTAAAAAATGGCACATGTGAAGAAAAATCCTACTAATTATCTCAAGATTAGGAATATTACTACCTTCTTAGACTGGACCTCATAATGGAAATGTACTCTCTTCTCTGAGTTTCCAGATAAAAGAACCACCACATTGTTCCCTGTAAAACATATAAACTACCCACATCTCAACTAAAAATATTTACCTCTATTTATTTAACTCTTATTTCTCTGAGACTTTTTTAAAAATATTTTTTTCTAAATATGTTTTTTAGTTGTAGATGGATACAATACCTTTATTTTTTATGTTGTGCTGAGGATAGAACCCAGTGCCTTCCACATGTGAGGCGAGCACTCTACCACTGAGCTACAGCCCCAGCCCTAGACTGTTTTTTTAATAGAGCAAATAATTAAACATGATACTAGAAACACCTACAAATTCATTCTCTCTCTCTCTCTCTCTCTCTCTCTCTCTCTCTCTCTCTCACACACACACACACACACATACACACACACACAATTCAGCTGGGAACAATGAATGGTATATGCCTGCAGTCCCAGATACTTGGGAGGCTGAGGTATAGGATCACTTGAGCTCAGGAATCTGAGACCAACTTGGACAACACAGCAAGACCCAAAAATAGAAAATCATTTTGATTACTTTATAAACTCCAAATGCTTTTTAAAATGCTATGTCCTCAAGACCAAATACTGTACTTTTAAATATTTTATTCTGTATCACTGAGGTTAACTAATATAGAATTCAATACCTTAAGTCATGTATCTCTTCTTTTCCAAACACATAGACCCTTACCAGTACTTAACAGTAAACACATAAAAAAGGAAGGCTTTCATATTACACTTATGTAGCAAACAATGTTTCAGTAATCAAATACAGAGTAACCCTGTTTTCTTGATAAATCCCTACTTTATCCCTATAGAAACAACACTCTTTGATTTCCAGAATTTCAAATACTCACACAACTAATTCTGAATGAAGATATATACTATGTAGCAGAGACTGCTCAGCCCTGGAGTGATATGAGCCAACAAGGAGGGGTAGCCTGCTATCCTAAAGCTTAACTAGTGAGGAAAAAAAAAGCCAGTGAGCAAAAAGAGGCAATTGGGGGGGGGGGCAGGGGGCTGGGGAGGAGAGATGACTGAGAAACTGTAGGGAGTGTAGGGATAACTTTTTAAAGAAAGATAGTAGAAACAATTCTCTGAGCAAACTGTATGAGCAAAAACCTGGAAAACAAAAAATAACTAAATATTAAACAATATGCACAGTAACCAAATGGATAATGTGACAAGCAGGCTACGCTGAAAAACTACCGGACCCTGTAAATCATGAGAAGTCCATGCATTAAAACCCCCTCAGAAATATTCTCTTTTTCTCTTTCCAGTTTTGGGTTCTTTTCATTGCCACATATAAAGGTGGCTGCAATATTCTATTTTGCCATTAGATGACACTATTACTCTTGGCAAAATAATAATTTCCTTCCCATTTCAAATTACACTTTTAAAACTTACTCTCCAACTTTATCAAAAATCAAAGTTACCGGGCTAGGGTTGTAGCTCAGTGGTTGAACATTTGCCTCGCATGCATGGGGCACTGGGTTCGATCCTCAGCACTACATAAAAAAACAAACAAATAAGTAAATAAAACAAAGACATTGTGTCCATCAAAAACTAAAAAAAAAAAGTTTAAAAAATCAAAGTTACCAAGAATACCAAAGTAAAGAATAAAGACACTCAAGGCTAGTATAATTATCTAGCCATCATTTATCTCTATTAATGCATATAAATATCCTTCCTTTTTAAAACCCTTCAAGTGCATTCATCTGTCTTCTAAGGGTTTTGCCCACTTTGCATGTTATATGTTTACAAAATTGCAACATGTAGGGTTGAGGATGTGACTCAAGTGGTAGCGCGCTGGCCTGGCATGCGTGAGGCACGGGTTCAATCCTCAGCACCACATAAATATAAATAAATAAAGGTATTGTGTCCATCTACAACCAAAAAAAGTATTAAAAAAAAAGCTGTCAAGGGTAGTACAGTTTTCATATAGTAGGTTTGAGAAAACAAACCTAGGTGAAGAAAGTATAAAGAATCTGAAGCTGATAATCATTTCCCAAACAGTACAGAACCATAAAATAAAAGAAAGGGGAGAAAGTAGAGAAAAAACTTTTTTGAAACAACTCTAGGGGAAAAGTGGGTAATACAAGTAGTGATTACAGTGAAAGGATGATCTTAAAAGCAATAAAAGAATGTCTTATAAAAACATGAAGCTATAATAGGACAAAAAAAGTAATTTAAAATGATGAGCATGTTATGATCATTGCTACATAATATGACCATGTCATTAAAATATAACATAATAGAAGAAATTTTTTCATTTAAAAAATCTGTGTTGGAGCCAGGCACATGGCACATGCCTATAATCCCAGTGGCTTGGGAGGCTGAGGCAGGAGGATCGAGAGTTCAAAGTTCACCTTAGCAACAGTGAGGCACTAAGCAATCAGTGAGACCCTTTATCTAAACAAAATACCAAATAGGGCTGGGGATGTGGCTCAGTGGTCGAGTGCTCCTGAGTTCAATCCCCAGTACCAAGAAAAAAAATCTGTGTTGGAATGGTGAGACTTACAGATGATTGTAGCATAATACATTATTGCTATCAGTTGTGGTGTTTTTTTTTTTTTTTACTCTGTTACAAAATTATACATCTATGCCTCTTATCACATGATGTTGTAACACCTCTCACTAGAATTAAGTAGAACACGTTTCCCTTCCCTAATAATTTTGTGCTTAGCCATGAAATTTACTTTTGTCAATGAAACATCAGTAGACAAAACTTGAACAGAGACTTTAAATGTGTTTTCATGTTGGAAGCGCAAATGAACTGTGCCCACAGTTCTATCTGAGCCATCTCTAAGTGGAGGGGAGCCCCTTGGAGAACTCCCAGTGTAATCTCACCCATGTGAGACCGCTTTGTTGCCTTGGCAAAGGTCCTCTTCAAAGAGAATTCTGTGACACCGCAGAATTTATTGCCTCTAACAGCCCTACCTTCAAAAGCAACTCCCCAGAGGTTGAAAGAAACACCAGTGTGCCCCACTAGCCTGGGGCACCAGCTCCCTGGAGAAGGAACAATTACTGTGCAAGTGATAAGTCCTCAATTAGGCCAACTACCCAACACTGCCTGGCTTCTTGTTTACCTTGAGGAACCCTTCCTCACAATAAATTCCTTTGGTGTATTTCACTATAAATAAAGCATTGCAGGCTTTTTCCCTTTGTTAGGTTCAGATCCATCAAGTCTTTTCCACCCACAAAGCCCTCACTTTAAAAAATATTTATCGGGGCTGGGGATGTGGCTCAAGCGGTAGCGCGCTTGCCTGGCATGCGTGCGGCCCGGGTTCGATCCTCAGCACCACATACAAACAAAGATGGTGTGTCCGCCGAAAACTAAAAAATAAGTATTAAAAAAATTCTCTCTCTCTCTTTAAAAAAAATATATATATATATATTTATCGTGTCTTTTATTTCTTTTTTTAAATTATTTGTTCTAATCAGTTATACATGATAGCAGAATATTCTTTCATTCACTGTACACAAATGGAGCACAAATTTTCACTTCTGTGTTTGTACACGAAGTAGGGTAATACCGTTCACTCATACACACACCTAGGGTAATGATGTCCAGTCACATCCCACCATCTTTCCTACCCCCCATTCCCCCTCTCCCTCCCTCTTTGCATAATCCAAAGTTCCTCCACTCCTCCCATGCCCCGCCTCCATTATGGATCAGCACCCATTAATGAGAGGAAAACATTCTTTGGCCTTTGGTTTTTTGGAATTGGCTTACTTCACTTAGCATGATGATCTCCAACTCCATCCATTTACCTGCAATGCCATGATTTTATTCTCTTTTAATGCTGAGAAATATTCCATCTTGTATACATACCAGAGTTTCTTTATCCTTTCATCTATAGAAGGGCATCTAGGTTGGTTCCACAGTTTAGCTATTGTGAATTGAGCTGCTTTAAACATTGATGTGGCTGTGTCACTGTAGTGTGCTGTTTTTAAGTCGTCTGGGTATAGACTGAGGAGTGGGATAGCTGGGTCAAATGGCTGTTCCATTCCAAGTTTTTTAAGGAATCTCCACACTACTTTCCAGAGTGATTGCACCAATTTGTAGTCCCACCAGCAATGTTTGAGTGTGCCTTTTCCCCCACATTCTTGTCAGCACTTGTTGTTGCTTGTATTCTTGATAACTGCCATTCTGACTAGAGTGAGGTGAAATCTTTTTTTTAATATTTATTTTTTAGTTGTAGATGGACACAATATCTTTATTTCATTTTTATGTGGTGCTGAGGATCAAACCCAGTGCCTCACGTATGCTAGGCAAGGACTCTACCACTGAGACACAACCCAGCCCCTAAAACCACTTAAGAGTAGTTTTGATTTGCATTTCTTTAAAATCAAGAAACGATAAATGGGATAGATTCAAACTGAAAGGCTTCTTCTCAGCAAAAGATACAATCAATGAGGGGAAGAGAACCTACAGAATGGGACCAAATTTTTACCACACACACTTCAGATAGAGCACTAATCTTCAAAATGTATAAAGAACTCAAAACACACCAGAAAAACAAATAGCCCAATCAATAAATGGGCTAAGGAACTGAACAGACACTTCTCAGAAGATATACAATAGATCAACAGAAATATAAAAAAATTGTTCTATTTCTTAATACTACTTTTTCAGACTTTTACTTCCAGTTGGCCCACACCTCCAAAGGTCACTTCCACTGGTGAGATTTTAGTAATTTGGCTTGGTCTTAAGCCAAAATTTAATACACAATGGACCCAAAATGTAACAAGCAAACAGACCTAAACCAATAGACCCAAAAGTAACAAGCAAAAAACAAAAAAAAAATATGAAT